TTTTGATGCATTTTCTAACTATATGAACCCATGTAATGGTAGTTATTAATCATCATCACAAGTGATTATCCCTTTGGGGATATGCATGATACTCAACATCCAGTACATTTGTGTGTGTTGGAATTTATGTTAAGGCAATTTGTGACTGCCAATTCTATAATTTATTAAATAAAATGGGGTCAAGTTTAAATAAAATTAATGGGATGATCTGAGTTTATTAATGTGGAAGTGGGAAAACTCTGAATAATTTTTTAATTTTGATTTGCAGGCAGATAAGTTGGTACGTTTGAATTGATTTTGTATCATAGGCTTCATTCAGTTTGATGTAGACAATTTTCTTTTCATTTTCCAATTGAGTTGACAAAAGCATTCAAAACTTCCATAAAGTTTATTTCTTCTGAATCAAGCAAGGAATCACAAATGAAAGAAACCACTTGTTCAAGTTGTTTTATTTAATAATTAAAGCACAACAATTGTACATGGAAATATTCTCTTTTACACCTGAGATTCTTGATAATCTTATCACAAACCTTTATGTGGCTCATACTAACCGAGAAAGTGGTAGGATAAAATCAGAATTTTCTTCTTCTTTTTTTTCTTGCATTATGAACTGATGAAGCCCACATTGAGATCCATAAGTCTTCCAGATAGAACGGAATCAGAATATGTTCTTGCTTTTAACTTCGTCAACAATTCGAAGTATCATAGAATCCTTTTGGGGAACAACTCAATTTATAAGGTTATCATGATGAGACCGATATTATTCTCATTCTCGAGTCTCTTTTGTAATCTTATATATTTTCTCTGATTTTTTTTCTTTTGCTTTAGTTTTGGAAACTTGCTCGCATACGAATTCTTATGTACTTACATATGAAACGCTTAAACTTTTATATTTACATTTATGACATATTGATGTCTTAAACTCATGCATGAAAAGCTGTAATTCACTATTGAAAGGCAGCTAATAGTGGCATTGTTAATATGATGTTAAAGATTCAAGTGAAATGCATGTAAATATGAAAGTTTAGGTCTTACATATCTAAATACATGAGAATGGTGATATGTATCCCTTTAGTTTTTTTTTTTTATGGTTATGTTGATTAGGGGTGATAATGGTCTAATCTTGAGTTGAGTCATACGAGGTCAAAATTGGAGCAAACATTTTTATGATGGGTAATTTCTGAAGGATAGGTAATTATGTTGAAGAAATGTCTCAAAAATAATATTCAATTAGAGTACTACATTGGAGATTTTGAGTAATTGATAACGAAGTTGCGGCATACATTCAAGATATAAGATAGTTGAAGATGAACTTAAATTAGAGTACAACATGGAGATAAACTATTTTCTTGATGTTACAGCATACATAGAAAACAAAGACCATTTTAGAAATAGAATGATCAAATATTATTCATATGATCATTAAAGTAGCTTTTTTCCTTTAGGTTTAACTAGCCAAGTCTTTAATAAAAGCTATTGTTTGGATGTTAGGTGGAGCTTTAAACCATAAATATTCCTCGCTCTTATGATCTCTTAAGAGGTTAGAAACTCTTCGAGCAAAATTGTTTTTATCCTTCTAAAGCATCTAAATTTAAGGTTATATTTTTTTTTAGCAAAGTGGGAGCAAGATGTTGGGCATCTCATTATTTAATTTGATGATTATTGACCTCATATGTTGTCGTTTAATGATTTCTAAATGATGATGTTAGGCTTTATCATTTCATAACAGTCATCAAGGTAAGAAGCTATGTCACTGAGTTGGGTAAGGAGGTTGGCTGAACAAAGAATGCAATATAAAAGTTATGTATTGTATTTGAAATATTTTGAGAGTTTTGGTTTGGGGAAAATAAAGTATTAAATTTTGTAAACTACATAAGAAAAAATTATTAAGATTTATTTCATATATAGAGAAATCTCAAATTCCATGGTGATAATTGCCCATTTTGGATGTAACTTAGATTCCACCCCTATTTGGAACATAAAATCTCCTTTTTACTTCAAACAAAATAATTGCTTGGTGAAATGTTGAAGTAACAGTTTAAAAGTCTACAAGGTTTAATGGTATAGTTCAATGTTAGGGTCTAGTTTTCATTATATTGGTTGGTGTAAAAACTTAAAAATATCATTTCTTCCATATTATGCATGCAATTGATATGCACTATTTTCTAAACTATAGATGTTTATCAATTTTTTCAACTAGCATATTTTGAGGAGAACATGGAAGATAGATTTTTTTTCGTATCGTATTTTATATTTGTTTTATGAAAATTGATACCTATTAATATGTTGTGAAGATGTGTTTTGGTCAAACATAGTAGTTAAAATTTTACCTAGTAACTTCAGAGTTCAGAGAGGATGAACGCACAATTATAATGGAAAGTGTGATGTAATGAATGCTTTTTTCAGTAAAATCTATGATATAGTTAAAATAAATATATTAGTTAGCTCTATTCTCTTAAATAATTAAGAGTAAGTTAGAGAACCATAACTTTGATAAAAATGATGACCATCTTATTTTAAATTTGAAGTGAGTATTTTTAAAGAGCACAACATTTTGTATGAAATGATAATAAATTTTAATATGTTGGATTTGTTAATTTGATATAATAGTAATGACAACATAGATAATGATCCGGTCATAGTACAATACTATAGGTATAACTAAAAAATTTTCTATTAACAAGTCTTAACTATATCATTTCACATGTAAATGGGTAAAGAATTTATATTTAAGCTTGGCATTAGATTTGACCACACCACCATATTTCTTATTTTTCAAGAAAGTAATTTTTTCATTAGTTCTATATTGGGGTTTGCATACCAAATAATAACTTTAAAGGTAAATGTAATATAAAGCTTAAAGATAACTATTTTTTTTTTTAATAACTTTCAATAGTAAGATGAATCATCAAGCAGAGCTTTTCATTAACATCATTAGCAGTGTACATAGAGGCAACAACTTGTTTGCAACTTAAAAGAGTAGGTTCTTCAAAAATATCAATAGCATATTTTCTCCAAGACAATAATACCTCATTTTATTTATAAGTGAATTCAATTCCAACCAAAATGTTTGAGCCACCTTAAGTCTTTAAAACAAATTTTACTTTCGTAAATTGATTATTTACCTGAAATGCGTCATTATGATCATTTCTAATGTAGAAGATACCATCAGCAAATGTAAATAATACGACAAAACCTATAGGGGAATGATCTATAATGTTACTATAAAAGCAAATCAATAAGTACTTGTAGAATTTTTCTAACTCAAGTACATGAACTCCATTTAAGTTTAAAAATGGCCCTCATGAATAGACATATTCGATTCTCCCCTAAAGTTGATTTTGTGCACCTTGAATGATGTATTATGGCAATAAATTTAATAATAATAATAATAAAACTACTCGAACATGTGATCATGCGGACCAGCATGCAAGACTACCAAATGCATGATCAAGCATGTAAACATATGGTGAGTGTTTCAGATGTTGTCACTGGCCGCATCTTAAAGAGAAAAACACTAAATAACTTCATCAAATGGCTTGATCTTTAAAAGCTTATCATGTACATTAACAGATTACTATTAAGGCGGTCTCTGATCTTCAAATCAAATAGCAATATAATACTTGATTTTACATATTTTTAATACAAACAAAGTATGAAAAATTATAATGAATCAGTTGGTATCACTTCAGTTATAGTATTTTATTTTATTTTATTTATATTTCAACGTGAAATATAGCATATTTTAATTTAATATTTCAGTCTTATAGAATTATGTGAAGGCGATTGTTGCCACCAGCATATATATGACTTTTAAATAACAACATGAGTTACAAATAAAAAAAAAATTAAAAATTAAATAAAATAATAAAAATATCCCCAAGGCCTATTTTTCTAGGAGGGGCAATTGATCTGAACACCAATGCTCAAGCCCCAGTTAGCTGGTAGGACTGCCAAACAAATTCTTTGTTAAGAAAAAAAAAATTTTTTTGTGCTCAAACTATAATCGAGCTCAACACGAACCCTTTGTTTGTTAGTGTTCCGCTCATTTTAGCTCGAAATAAAAAATTATATATATTATTTATATAATAATATATATAAATTTAAATCATGGTAGTTGCACATGTGGTGACCTTCTATTGTACAAAATTTGTGCATGTTCGACACCATACATTTATATTTTCCAAGTAATGTTAACAGATCAAATTCAAGCCGAACATAATCATAATGTTCACGAGCCAATTTCGAACACGAGCAATTTCGAATAAATCGAACAGTAGCAAAGCTTAAGCTCGCTCGGGTTCGGCTAGTTTACATCCATACTAGCTCGTGCTCAAGATCACAATAAGCATAGCCAACGAAACAGAAATCCTCCAAAATTTAGCTTCAGTTCAAACAAATATGAGTTCCAGATCACTGAGTCTACACTTTCTGCAAATTAAATTTTAATATTTTTCCACTGATTCACAACTCACCAACTCTTCACTTCCTACCTGCCCATCCCACCCCCTTAAAATACACCCTTAAAATACATAGCCATTTCCATTGGAAAAAGCTTAAAAATTTAAGCATTATATATATGTTTATATATATATATATATATATATATATATAATTTCATTACAATTGGACAATACTCTTATATTATTGTCATAATTTCATCACAAATTATATTAATAATACAGCTGTTTCATAAACTTAATCCTACAAAAAATATGGCTATCCACAGAAAAATTACAAACTTATCCTCCAAATCTTTCAACATGATTTCATCTCCAAGACAGTACAATTTACACATTTAAGATGAACAAGAAGGATGAAACTTTTGAAGAGAAAGCAAACAGCGCAGAACAAATAGAGAATGAGAACCAAATGCCAAACAAAAGAAGCCAACATACAAAGAGACAAAAGAGAAAGCAAGAGTTTAGTAACAATAAGATAATGTTCATAACAAAACAAGCAAACCTTCAATCCTTTTTATCTTTCTCGCTTTCTTTCCGTTTGTATTGAAAATATCAATTTCTCATTTATCATCATATCAATATCATAACATGCAATAAATATTTTAACCAAAGAAAAAATCATCCTCCATTCACCCCATGACAATAGCTGCAGGACAAAACAGTAAATCCAAGAAAATGCAATATACATTACACATCTGCCCAGAAATCATTCAAAAAATGCAAAAAAAAGAAAAAAAAGAAGAGATTATGAAGGAAAAAAAAAACCAAAGGGAGATAGAGAAGTGATTGAGCCAATAAAGCCAATATCACATTAACAACACCTCATTGAAGTGAAAGCGTGTCTTCATCCTCCACCTCCTCCTCCTCCTCCTCGCCGGGGAACCGCCACCTCTCCGCCAGCGGAGGCAACAGCGTCTTGAATCTTCCCATGGCCTCTCCCTACTTCTCGATGCTTGATGGCACTCCTGCAATTAGCTCTTCCAGGCTTCCTTCTCCATCAATGTTGCTCCTTCGCTCTCCTGAAGAAAAAACAAAGCATAAGGAGGAATTAAAAAATGCCGCACAACAACAGATGCAACTTCTCTCTCCTCCTATCCATTTCTGCGAGTTTCTTTCACTGTTTCGGTAATTTCTATTAAAAAAGAAAAAACAAAGTGCTTATTTAACTAATCTTCTAACATTTTATAAAATATTATTTCAAAAAATATGAACAATAAACATGTAGATGTTAATGCCTCCTGAAACCTTAGGAACCATACATACATACATACATATATATATATATATATATATCTATTATTGAAAGGGGCAAAGATTGTTTCACTAGTCCCGATTTGTACAAATTTTAAAGCATGTTTTGACGAGCAAAACAAACCAAAATATGGTCAACAAAGATTGGAATTTGGGCTATATCATAAATTATGCTTTTGGTCTCATTTGTTAATATTTTAAATCTATCATGTCCCTTTTGATTAACGCATTTAGAAATTATGGGTTCCAATGTATATCTGAATATCTCCCTGATATAGATTTCATTTTTTATTATTATTATTTTTAATTAATACAATAATGATAATTAGAAATTAAAAAATATTTTTTTTGCCCGATAAAGCTGAAATAGATAGGAGGCATAGGACTACTATAGTCTCAGCTCCCCGAATTCCAATGCACCTCTTCCTACGGGTTTCATTTGTGAAAAAACCCCCTCATCTTTTCAAGAATCATGTTAAATGAACGAGAATTATGAATTTATTGGAAAATTAAACAAAAAAAAATTGATAAATAAATAAAATTAAAAGAAGCGCGCGGTATTCGGTGAAATAAAATATTTTGTAAAAAATATATATATATAATTTTCTGGCAAAAAAAATTGTTTATAGTTCTAATTGGTAAATATTGAAAAGATTAAGGGGCGGAACGCAGATTGCGCGCAGTAAAATCTCTGCACTGTTCCTACTCCCACCCATGTGCCAGTCCACTGGCGGGCAGAACCCAACAGCGCAAGACAGATGTGGGTGGGGTCCACCCCAAAGATTTCTTCCCGGAACACCCCCACAATGTTCAAAATCCCGACGAGGCCATTTATGGCATTACAAAAATACCCCCCGTCGAAAATTTTCCCCTCCTGGGAACGAGCTTCGAGGCCATGAGAAGACCAGACGTGGAATGTTTGAGGTTAACAGCGTGGTTAACGATGGCTAAACGTGGGCGAGAAAGAGATTAGAGGGAGATTAATAGTACCTTTCGTCTCCGGCGATCTCTTCTCCGGCCGGCGGCCGGGTGCTGCGGCGGTGGCGGAGGGAAGTTGGATTGAAGAGGGGGGAGAGGAGGGGGGCTGGGAGTCGAGCTTCAGCGGAACGAAAGGTGGGGTTTTTATTTTTACGCTGTGGTGCTGGTGCTGATCTAGTGATCTGTGATGGCTCCTCGAGGTTTCTTTTTCTGAGTTTGTGTTCTTTCTGTTTTAAAGTTTTTTTACTTTGCTTGGGCGGTTTGGGTAAATATTGTTTCGTTATTTTAACTCTTTTTATTATGAGAGGTAATATTGCATTGGTGGAATATTATGCGGTTACCTTTTTTTTTTTATAAAAGGAGATTATTTTATGATATTTTGCATTTAATTTATGTTATCAATTAAAGATATTCTTGATAAGTAATATTTCATAAATTATGTGATGCAAATGCGTCATCTTAATATATAGTCTATAGCTGATTGGTGGTGGTCCAGCGGTGGGGGTGATGGTGATCCGATAGCGGCGATAGCTAGTTAATAGTGGTAGAGCTTAAGAATCCTCAAGAACTTAGAACTCTTTCAGTTTTCTCCTCTAGGTTCAGGTAACCTATTATAAATTAGGAGATTGAGAATCTGTTTATTGATTTTGTGAGTGGTATCCTCTCTAAATAGTGCATGAATAGAGATCATTTCATTAGACGATTCGGAACAATGTTTTTCATCAGACATTTTTATGAGCATTTAAGTTTTTTAATGATCTCAGAATTAAGTGATATCGGGCTCATTGTATTCTGATCGATAAGATACTCAATTTGATTATAAAGTTGTTAAATTTGGAAATCATTTGACCCCCAAAAATATATTTCAAAGCTTCCTATTTATGTTTTAAGTGTATGATCTGGGCCTATTTGGACTCGAGTCAGATCGTTCTGATGTTATATGGTCATCTATTCGAGACTCTTCGCTTGACCAGGGTGCAGACCTTTTCAAACTGGGTCACTCAGACTTTCAAGCAAAATGTGTGTCAAGATTTGTGCAAATTATTATAATTTTTAAGGGATTTTTAATATATAAGTACTTAATTGTATTATTATTATTATTATTTGTAATAAAAGCTGTCCAAAATAACTGTAACTGTAATTTTTTTTATTCAAGTAATTTTATAAAATAACCTGAAAAAACAGTAATTTATATTATGAATTTCTGACATCCTTTTCAGATATAGACAAGTTAACGTTCAAACAAATCATAAGTCATTGTTCACTAAAATGTTGATAACAGAAACAAATGCAATTTGTAATTACAGGAAATAATTTTCTTATTGTAAATGATGACAAATCGGATTGCGATGGATATCTATATATAT